AGATTAGAAGGAGGCTCTCATTTATCACCAGCCATTTTCAACTCTTTGCTCTTGCTTACATAGGAACATAGGAATACACCTTAGTCACACCACTGGTACATCTTTTTTACCAATTCAAGGGTGCTTCCACATCCTCCTTCTCTGTCTTTCGCACAATAAATGTGTTGCAGGCACCACTCTCTTTTATATATGCCCGAGATTCAAAATGCCAGGATTCAGTTTAGAGGTGGTTTAATTTGCTTATGGGACAAATTCCTGTTTGAGTTGTGAGGCCCCAAATTCAAATCTTACCCTAACCATGGACTTATTGTAGCCTTAGACAAGCTGTGATGATACTGGCCTACCTTACAGGGTGGTTATTAGGATTACTGAGATAACATACATACAAAGGTCTTTCCACTCTCCAAAGAGACCTATCGAAGGGAGGGGCTATCTACATGTGAACTGAACTATAATGATGGACGCCATCTTTCTCTGTGGCATCTGCATGTTGTTCTCCTCTGTGATTTGCTGTGCACATCAACCTCTGGGCTTTGCTTGTATTGTTTGTTAAAAAAAATGAATACGAATGTTTTAGAGAGAGAGAGAGAGAGAGAAAGAAAGAAAGAAGGAAGGAAAGAAAGAAAGAAAGAAAGAAAGAAAGAAAGAGCTATAAAAATGGCAAGTGTTGTCCTAGTGAAGGGACATAACTCAGAGTACATATGTTGCACTGAATCTTGCAGGTTCAATCTCCAGGCAGGGCAGGGAAAGATCTTAGAAAGACCTGCTTGAAACCTTAGAAAGTTGCTGCTGGTCTCAACAGTCTGACTCAGTATAAGGCAGCTTCCTATGTATGTTCCTATATGATGCCTGCCCTCAAAAAAGTACTTCTGTTGTGGAGGTAATGCTTCCCCCCCGCCCTTTTAGCAATCAAACTCAATATTGTGCCACTGGGAAAACAGGATTCTTCGATCCTTCCCTTTTGTAAGCAAGGGGACAAATCTGTTTCTAAGTCTCATAGGTTGCTGTTGGAAGATGAATTGTGACAGTAGTCATTTCCAGTTCATTATCTCAACCAAATGCCATAGCCACCAGTGTCTGTGTTTTCACTGACTATGAGCTACGAACCCATCCTTTCTCTACCATTTTGTGAAAGGCTTCTTTCAATTCCTTCTCGAAGGCTCTGCGTCCTTAAGGACTAGAGCCGTCTTTCCCATAGGGCTTAGTGGTGCATCGCGCCAGGGCAGCAGCCTTTCAGGGGCACCCCAGCAAGTAGGGGAGCTGTGCGGCTTTGCCAGTGGCCTCCCCTTTCCCTGCATGCCCGCCAGCTGCGCTCCACCAACCATAAGCTGGCAGGTGTGCAGCTTCCTCCCAAGCCTCTGCGGGGATCGCTCTCCTCCCAAGGAGGTTGGGGGGGGGCACAACTTCACTCCCAAGCCTCTGCAGGGATCGCTCTCCTGCAGCAGCATGGGGGAGAGTTGCTCCTCCCCTGATGGCTAGCAGTGCACAGCTACGGCCACCCCAACACTATCCGTGGTAATTTGGGGGCGCTGGGCGGATATTTGCACCCTGGCGCCGCATCTGCTAAAGACGGCCCTGTTAAGGACAGTAGTTCTCTTTACTAAAAAGCCCCGCCCACTCCTTTGTCGGCATGAAGGACATATGTCCCATCTGTGTAGCCTCACAACCTATCTGCATGAAGGATGAAAGGTTTGGCCTGCCATATACAAAATCTTTAACTGGAATAAAGCTTCTGTCTTGATATTTGCCAAATTACGGTGCTCTGTGGATATGACAAGTGCTCAAATTGTGAGGGAAATGGTGTGTGTGATTAATGAAATCCATAAGCTCTACTCCGACTCCCCTCAATTTTAGCCAAATTATACTCCCACCCTGTAACCTTTTAAAAAGAGTCACTATAAAAGGTGAGGAGGGGCAGCTGCTCCTACCCACCATCTTATCATTCAAGTGCTGACCCTTCTCCCCTTATCTGAACTCCTGCTAAACAGTTTTAAGTCAGCCCCATCTGCTACTTCTGGGGGAGGGCTGTGGCTGAGTGGTAAAACATCTGCCCCACAGGAAGGCTCAGGTTCAATCCTTAGCATCCCATTATGACTGGGGATGGTCCCTGCCTAAAACCCTGAGGGAGGAAAACCAGAGTTGGAGGTAGCAAATATTACGGTAGTTGCTAGAAACCACAGAAAGAGAGAGTATTTTTGGTTTTCCAAAACGCATCTGGTTGGCCACTGTGAGAACAGGATGCAGGGCTAGATGGGGCTTGATCCAGCAGGGCTGTTGTGGGCTAGGAGTCAGCTTTGCCTGCTGAACAGCAGCCTGAAGGGGAGAAGGTGAAATGACTCCAACTGCAGCTGACCAGCCTTCGAGGACACAGAGGAGAAGGTGCTGATGAGAACCAGCTGGCTTCAGCCTTCTTAAGCAGAGCTTCCAGCAGCAGTCAGATGCTGGAAGCGCTTATAGTTCCTGGCCCTACCTTGCTGCTTCCTGCTTCTCTTGACCACTGATCCCATGATCAGTGGATTCCCTGACCCCTGGATTGCCTGACTACATGGATTGCGGTTTGCCTGACCCTATTATTATTATTGATTGATTGCGTTTATATACCACCCTATACCGGATGTCTCAGGGCGGTTCACAGAAAAGATCACAACATATATAATCAGAAGAAAAACAACAACCCAATAACACTCCCCAGAAAAGAGTCACATTTTAAAAGGGTATAGGATGTCAATCAGAACAACCAAAGGCCTGGTTAAATAGGAACGTTTTTGCTTGGCACCTAAAGGTGTGTAATGAAGGTGCCAGGCAAACTTCCTAGGGGAGAGCGTTCTACTGCAGAGAGGCCTGTTCTTGGGTTGCCACCCTCCGGACCTCTCGAGGAGGAGGAGGGCCTCAGAAGATGACCTCAGGGTCCAGGTAGGTTCATATGGAAAGAGGCAGTCCTTGAGGTATTGCGGTCCTGAGCCATTTGAGGCTTTATAGGTCAAAACCAGCACTAGGACTGGACCTGACTTCAGATGCTGGCTTTGCCCCCAGGCAAGCACACCTCAGAGACTCTTCTGGTTGGCTGGCATCCCAATCTGCTGAGCTCTGCCCATTGCAGCTCAGCAATGAGACTATGAAAAGGGCTCTTCTTATGTTCTTATTGGGGGAGAGGCCCTGCCAGTCAGTGCCGACAATGCAGAGCTTGATGGACTAACGGTCTGACTCGGGCAGCTTCCTATATACTTTCCTTCCCCCTTAAAGGAGACACAGCATCATCCTTTATTTCTATAATCAGGCAAGCTCTGGCGGCAAACGGGCGTTTAGTCTGACACTCTGATCAACTGAATTGACAGCGGTAGTAGCGTCCGTACTGGTAGCATGTTGTCCTTGCCCATGGAGACAAGAGGCGGAGGGAACAAAACCGCTCCCGCTGGCAGTGTTTAAAATGCCGGCTGGAGTTACTGCTGGCTTGATGGCGACGGATGGCAGCGGCAGGAGCAGGCCAGTCTGTAGGGAATAAAGCGGGCCTTTGCCATCGCTGCTGTGGCTCACGTGGAACAATAATGTGTTCTGACTGTTGTCGAGGCCTAAGAAGTAATTTTTTTATCAAGCAGCGTTTCTGCGGGCAGAGGGGTCTAGTGGAGAGATGGGATGGAAGGAGTGAATGTCAAGGATCTAGATATTATTATTATTATTATTATTATTATTATTATTATTATTATTACATTTATTATTAAAAACAACCTTTTTCAGAATAGCTTCACAAATGAAGAAGGGAGGAAATAAACACACCAATTCAAAAAATTCTCCTGCTGGAAAATAGCACCGGGAAGAGGGAACTGTTGGGATTTCCCTGAGGCATCTGGTTGGTCTCTGTGGGAAATCAGATGCAGAATTTGATAGGTCTTTGGTATCATCCAGCATAACTCTTCTTAGGCTCTTTGAAATATTATATTTAAAGTATTATATGGGGCCAACAAGAATAAGGCCCCATTCACATCATGCATTTAAAGCACTATGATGCCACTTTAAACAGTCATGGCTTTTCCCAAATTCTGGGAGCTGTAGTTTCTTAAGGATGCTGAAAGTTGGTAGGAGAATCATATTCCCAGTTCCCCGAATGCTATAACAATCCCTCTTCACAGGGAATTCTGGGAATTGTAGCTCTGGAAGGGGAACGGGGTCTCTTAATGACTCTCAGCACCCTTAAGAAACTACAACTCCCAAAATGGTTCGGGGGAGCCATGAATGTTTAAAGTGGTACCATAGCGCTTTAAATGTGTGTTGTGAATGTGGCTGAATGTAACGAAATTCATTACAGGTATAGATTTACACCAGCAAATGGCTGAAAAATGGGCACCGTTCATAATATAATGGAACACAAATTGTATCTTTAGTGTGATTGATATAAATACTCTGGTAGCAGTTAGATATCAATAAAACTCATAGGAGAACAGGCAGCTTGAAAGAGTTATACTTTCAGCCTGGAAGAATAAATACCCAATGTCTGTTACACAGTGGTCTGTCCTAGCGACGTTTGAATATATTACATATACACATCAATTTAGTGTAGATACCTATTTGGATATCTGGAGGGCTGGTCTTAACTGATGTTTAATTTGGATATCCGGAGGGCTGGTCTTAACTGATGTTTATTTTGAGGTTTTCTGTACTGATAGCCACTGTATCTGGAATATGAACTGATTGTGGTTTATTTTATTATTATTAGCAATAATATTATGTATCATTTCCCCTGCTCTTCTCTCCCTCTCTTTTTCCTTTGATTTTTATTTAGTCTCCCCTCCCCCCCTTTTGCTTCTTGTTAAATTTGCTGATAAAAAAATTGACAAAACAAAAGGAGTGAAAGGAGTTCTGGATTTGCTCTGCCAGAGATCGGCACAGTGCCTACCCCCCTGCTGCCTTGCCCCCATTCCTGCTTGTCCCCAAACTGCAATGGCACTGGAGTTGGGAGGCCAGGTGCTCAGCATCGCTCCTCCCCATTGGCCACTCCTGCCTATGGAATTGCCAACATGGACTTCTGTGAGTGGCTTGCAAGAGGAGTGTTCAGAATGCTCAGTTAACGGTCCTCAGAAAGAGGTTTGCGCCCGACTCTCACCATAAAGTGTTACATTCTTCAGCGACATGACAAGGAAGTGAACTTGCTAGATCTGGCAATACAGAATCAGTCAGCGGTAATTTGGAGATGAAGTTGTTATCTTCGGCTGCTCTGTTCAAATTAATTTTCCACATTCGCTGTCAACAAAAGTGGAGTGACAGTCCTTGGGATGCTTTCAAAATAATTAGCACCATCACACAAAAGACAATATGAATTACTGAGGTGGGGGGTGGTAATACATAAATAAAGTGAATCCTCAGACGCGTTGTGCAACTTGTGTGCCTTCTAAGGTATAAATAGTCCAGCTGGAGGATCTTTCATGCCAAAAACATGGTGCTTCAAAGAGGACATTACATTAATTGGATGTGTCAGCTCTTCTGTGAGCCATCATTGAGAGTGCGAACCTTCAGATCACGGGGTTGAATATGTTACACACCACAATGTGAGATAGCTCTTATTAGGGAAGAGTGAGCTATGAGCAGGACTTAATGCCAGCAGTTTTTGTCCAGTGAAGTGGTCTTATCAGTGGTGGATGGAGCAATCCAAGCACAAACTGGTTTACAACTGCTATAAATGTGATCATGGGAGATGTGTTGACAGGCATTTAAAAGTAGTATGCCCAGGACTCTTTGGTTATGTAAAGTGGACTTATCTTCTCAGCAGCGTCTCCACCCCCATCATTCAGCCCGGACATAGATGTCCTCCTCCGAGGTCCTTCTGGTGGTTCTCTCACTGCGAGAAGTGAAGTTACAGGCAACCAGGCAGAGGGCCTTCTCAGTAGTGGCACCTGCCCTGTGGAACGCTCTCCCATCACATGTGAAGGAGAAAAATAACTATACAACTTTTAGAAGACAACTGAAGGCAGACCTGTATAGGGAAGTTTTTTAATGTTTGGTGTTTTATTATTTTTATTATCTGTTGGAAGCCCCCAGAGTAACTGGGGCAGCCTAGACAGATAAGCTGGGTAAAAATACTACTACTACTACTACTACTATTAAACTGAAGTGCAGGTATTTGCATTTGCTCCTATTGTTTGGTAGCTAACTTACCATTTACATTCCTCACTTTCTTCCTTTGTTTCCTGCTCTGTCAAAATTTACGTAGATTGTAAGTGTCTCTTGGCAGGGACCTTTTTACATCAATATCTGTCTAATGAATTTTACCTGCTTAAGAATAATCAAAGGTGCAGCCAAAACCAGCCCTAGGATCTGTTTCCTGGATCAAATCTCAATGGTCTTTTGCCCAGCTCAGTTCCATGCTGCTGGGAAATGCATCTCCATGAGTACTCATTGCTCCCAATTTCTTTCCCAGATATGATCCAGGTGATCTGTGTTTTCTGTTTTTCCCTTCTCAGGTATAACCACCATGTAGGCACTGTCTGAAATGGCCTCCAGGCTCAGTCTTTCCCACCAGCCCAGGGGAAAGGGAAAAGCAGCTTTTGACACATAGCTGAACTGCCTAGCAATGATAGCTGCCATAACACACTCCCCATCTTGTGGAGATCCAGAGAGAGGGATACGGGAAAGTCACAGAAAAACAGCAAAATATAACATCTGGCAACTAGGTGGTGCTGAAAATCTACCAATGGGTAAAAAAATGCAAAAGTTGGGGGAAAAGAAGAAGAAAAACATTTGCACAATTGCGAGGTACTGAATTGGTCGGCAAATTCTGTCCCAGAAGTGTGAGACCAAAGCTGTAAGACACAGCCATTTGCTACAAGCAGCTGCCACCACCTCAAAGATCCTTGATCTATATGAACAACTTTTGAGCAGAACTGGGGCTCTGGTTTTGCTATTCATCGTCCTCATTTTGTGCAGCAGTATTAGGCTTCCTTTGTGTAATTTTCTGTGGACTAGCAACTGCCCTAACATGGCTTGCTTTGTTTCAGCAGGTCTGAGTATGTCTTAAAATAAACGATATCAAATCAGTAGACTTTCCTCAGTCAATTAGTTAAGCTGGGGGCCCTGAAGCTTGAACTGTTATGGGGGCCCCTAGACAGAAACTAGGTCTAGGTAACCACTGTTATCTTCTTCAGTGGGGTTGTTCCACAACAGATCACCATACCTTTACAACATCTGTGCTAGTGACCCTGAAACTTTGGGATTGTTGAAATAGAATAATAATAATAATAATAATAATAATAATAATAATAATAGGGACGCGGGTGGCACTGTCAGAAGGTTGGCGGAATCCCCGTGACGGAGTGCACTCCCGTTGCTCAGTCCCAGCTCCTGCCAACCTAGCAGTCTGAAAGCGCGTCAAAGTGCAAGTAGATAAATAGGTACCGCTCCGGCGGGAAGGTAAACAGTGTTTCCGTGCACTGCTCTGGTTCGCCAGAAGCGGCTTAGTCATGCTGGCCACATGACCCAGAAGCTGTACGCCAGCTCCCTCTGCCAATAAAGCGAGATGAACACCGCAACCCCAGAGTCGGCCACGACTGGACCTAATGGTCAGGGGTCCCTTTACTACTACTACTACTACTACTACTACTACTAATAGCTTTGAGTTGTGTGACTCAAATTGGGTCTACTACTCCCCACATTTTTAAGCAGTGCTTCTGGGGTTCCTTCACGATTACGGGCCCTGAAGCATCATAGTAGATTCTCCCCTGAAGCTGAGCCTTCACAAAGTGGCTTATACTAACTTAATGAATAGCTATAATTTGCTCTTCACCACGAGGTCCTGGGGCTGGTTGCAATTTAACCATGTAACATTTTTTACTCTCAAATACAGGTGGTCAGATCATGACACCTGTTGAATGTGGCCGCCAGCCTCACAGGAGGGAGGAGGGTCCACCCTCCTTTATCTGTTTGCCTCTTTGCAATTAAAACCAGTCCCTCTCTGCGCCCTACTTTATCTGTGACTGAGGGAAACTGGAGTTTAAAAAAGAACAACCACCAAGCAGGTCTGTTGCTGTCCCAACTAGTGTGAACCCAGGGCTGTAGCTAGGGGGTGGCGAGGAAGGCGCAGATAGGGGGAGGGCAGGCATGCACTAAAAAAAAATGTCCATAAATATGTCTATAAATAAAAGTATTATTGCACAATCTGGATGGTTCTGCCAGGAGTGAAAAATCACCTAGCTAAGGCTCTGTGTGAGCCTCTGACTGCGCACAAGTAAGCAAAAAAAAAGAAAAAAAAAAGAAAAAAAAAGTGTTAAAGAAAGAAAGAAAAAAGAATCAGGAAGGATTCCGGTCACTTATTGGCCTGAAAATCCTTCAAAACTACCAAGAAAGCAAGGGTGCAGATATAGACCCTTCCAGCTCCGAAAACTATTTGCCATAATATAATAATATATTGAGATTTGCCAGCTTAGTGCCCATGATACCCTGTTGCCCAGAGGTGCCAAGAAGGGCCTTTGTGGGTACCAGCAGATCCCGGGTTGGTGATCTCTGAGTTAGTGTGTTGTACTTCAACCGGGGTTCAAACTCTCACTTTGTCACGAATCTCACTTGGTGACCTTGGGCCTGTTGCTGTCTCTCAGCCTAACCTGCCTCACAGGGTTGTTATAAGTATAAAATAGGGAAGCAGATGTATTTCAAGTGTCCTGGAAGAAAAAAGAGGACATCCTGTTTCTTTGTGTGAGATCGTGGCAGACATTTTTGGTGCCGTGATCTCGCGCTGCACTCTCACCCTGAAAAAATGACTTTGGGGTGGGAGGTTGAGAGTAAGGTGAGGGTCACATGACTCACACAGAGCACATCCTGAAAGACGCATGCCCCCAATTTTGGATCTCAACAAGTTCGATGATATGGAACCATGTAGGCCACCTTGAATGTCTTAGACGTATGGAATAAATATGATAACATAACATATAATGATAGTTGAAAAAAGCAAGCAAGCAAGCAAGCAAGCAAGCAAGCAAGCAAGGCAGCTGCAATATATAACAGATCATGAAGGAACATGTTAGACATTAATATGCCAATGGCTGTTTTAATAAGTATTTATAGAACAGGAGTCCATAGATTATAGTGTAATTATTTCTTTATTGCAAAGTGATGGAAGGTTAACCATTAGAGCTTTCTACTCACAATGTAACAGTATATAATTGCCCCAGAATATAAACAAATCAACCTTGGGTGTGGAATCTTTACCCAAAGCCTAAATAGTTGCATGTTTTAGAAGATGTCATACAATTTAATCAAATGGAACATTCATTTTGCAACACATGATGAATGGCAAAGTTATTTGAATGGTACAAGCAATGCAGAAAGAAATTCTGCCCATCAGAGAATGTATATTTAGTACTGAAGCTTGAGAGGTGTGTGACTAACCAAACTATAGAAAAGAAGCTTAACAGATACAGCTTCACTGATCAAAACTAAGCAAAACTTTACGGAAGTTCACAGAATGAAAGTGTCCCATCCTCTCCTCTCCACAGTAGCCCCCTGTGCTCCCTGAAAAGGCTTGCGGGCTTTCCTAAATAATATGGAATGGGGCACCAATGGCTGCTGAGAGGGGGAGGAATCACTCAGAATTGGGCTTGAATCCTAGGAAAAGTTAAGGAAGCTCATAGGGAAAAAATCTTCTGCCTCTCTCTTTTCCTGATCCTCCAGAGTGATTTTTCAGGGATCATATGTGACTGAAGTGGGGATGAGGGGATGGTGCATGCTTTTCAATCTGATTATCCTGGATGCTGTGTTCACGGCCGGCACAAGACATTTTGGTTCCTGAGGCGAACCACAAAATGGCACCCCTCTACCCCAGCCCCCAGAAGAGATGAGTGAAGATCTACAGTAGTAACAAGGGTGGGAGAAGACTAGCAGCATCACCTATTCACCAAGAAGCAGCATTTGGGGGAGGGGCGCCAAGGAGGAGGTGGCAGATTTGGCCTCCAAGTGTCAGGGACCGTGCTGAGGAGGGCTGCACTGAGGAAGAATGGTGGGAGCCACCCCCTCTTCCTGATCCTGATCCTGAATCTCCCAAGGGGCAGGAGGACAGTATAGATTTGGAACAGTGGTTTGCAGAGGGGCATAGTTCAGAAGGCAGAAGCTGGGAAATCAGGGATAGGGAACAGTTAGCAGAAGAAACACTAGAAGAGAGAGAGTTAACAGATTCTTGGTCTCTGGATAGTATCCACCCTCCTTCCCCAAAGAAGAGCTCAAAATGTGTCAGAACAGAAAGCACAGAGGCTACAAACTCAGATTACAAGACGTAGGAGCAGGGCCAGATTTAGGTTTGATGAGGCCCTAAGCTACTGAAGGTAATGGGGCCCTTTATGTGTCCAGCTGTCCTTTGTCAACAACAAATTGTCGCTGTTTTTTGTCTTGAATATACAATGGTACCTTGGGTTACAGAAGCTTCAGGTTACAGACTCCACTAACCCAGAAATAGTATCTCGGGTTAAGAACATTGCTTCAGGATGAGAACAGAAATCGTGCAGTGGCGGCGCAGTGGCAGGGGGAGCCCCATTAGCTAAAGTGATGCTTCAGGTTAAGAACCGTTTCAGGTTAAGAACAGACCTCCAGAATGAATTAAGTTCTTAACCCGAGGTACCACTGTATGTTATATGGTAATATATGGACCTAATCGGTATCTAAAGCCATTTGCACATAACAAAATATGTGTTTTATCAAAGTAATTGATATAAAAATGAGCAAACCAGTGATATTTTAGGTAGCAGGCTAGTAGGTGGGGCCCATTACTTACATCATAGGAGCCTACACAACACAAAACATTGTTACTGTATGTAGGTTTTATTTTATTTGTTTTTTATCTTATATTTTGGAAATGTACATCCAGTTTTTTTACCTTTAAATTTTTGGGGGGCCCCCAAGAGAGTGGGGCCCTAAGCTATAGTTTGTTTAGCTTATACATAAATCTGGCATTGCGTAGGAGTGACGTAGATTTATAGGGACAGAGTGGGGAGTCACCTTAATTGGGAGCACCGCCATTCTGGTTAGATGCTTTATTTTGTCCTTCACTGTGTTTATTAAAGAAACTAACTAACTGGTAAGAATTCCCTTTCGTATGATCTGCTCATTTATGGCCATGGGGGTGGAAGATGATTCCCCAAAGCCTGACACTAAGGCATGCAACACAGCTGCAAAGGCGGCAAGAGCAGGCAATGCATTCTTTGGAAGCCAGATCTGCTGCCCCTGTGGACCCTGCTGCTTGAGGCGGTCTTCTCACCTTGCCTCATGGGTGGGTCAGCCCTGGCTGTGTTAATTGTGAGGAGACCATAAGACTAGGTGTGCAAGCCTATGTGTGCGAGGAGCTTCAGGCTTGAGATGTGGTTCTCGCTGAAAACATAGATGCAGTCATTCCTCGGGATGAATATGCTTTAGCTTAAATATTTTCGGGTTGTGCTCCGCGGTGACCTGGAAGTAACGGAGCGCGTTACTTCTGGGTTTCGTCGCTCGCGCATGTGCAGACGCTCAAAATGACGTCATGTGCATGCGTGGAAGCAGCGAAACGTGACCCGCGCATGCGCAGACTCAAAGTTCGCATCCAGAGGTACCACTGTAGTGACTAACAACCCCCATGCAATGCTTGGGATTTGTGTGTGGAATGGGAGTTCATGCGACTTTGCCCATCAGGTTAATCCCACAATCCCTTCTTGCCCCGCAGAAAATGCTGTTCACTGAGTCATGCTGACATAACACTTATGTTATTGATGTAATTCCCCCTCCTCCCCGCCTTCCCCAAATGTTCTCTGGCCTAATCACTTTCTTAAATTCCACAAACACAATCTCTGTGCTGTGATCAATTATTTAACAGAAAATGATGCATTGAGGTAGAAACTAAATACCATTTAATATGCTCCAGGAATTCTAATTAAGAGGTATCACTGTACTGCTAATGAAAACTTTTAACTTTCCTCTGCTTTCAAGTCTTATTTGAATGCAGATAAGCCAATGTCCATAGACTTCCTTTTAAGAACGGGGCATTATTTTGTCATTTTTAATAGGATCCTTCTTCCTATTTTGC